GTGCTCTCTGCCGATGCAGAAAGACAGAGAATTTGCAAGTGAACATAGCACCCACCATATCAGCAAATCAAGGAACACTGCAGGTGTCCCTATATTGCTGCATAGAATAAAATGTCACAGTAGAAAATGACATAATAAAGGATAAAGCAACAGAAGGGTTCTCTGCTAAGCATTCTTAGAGGTGTTGTAGCCTGTGTTTCAGCTGACTTTAAAGAAGGATTAGATCAAAATCTGTGGAGAAGGAGAGAGCTCCGTTAATCCGTTAACAGCTAAATGGAATTCCATATTCCGAGGTAGCCCTTCTCTGTATATAATTTACTTTCATGTCCTGTTTCTACCATTCAGAGGCATTGAGCTTCCTCACAGAGAAAGTAATTTCTTCCTTAACTGCCATCATTCTCCTGCTGGGTGGGAGAGTTGTAATTCAACATGTTTGAAAATCATTAGGTTGGTAAAGAAAGCCTAAATTTATTCAATGAATGTTATGGCTTGATGAGGATGATCCAACTGTTCCTCACCAGCTTTCCTACACATAATACACTCCTGCTCTTATTGTGCTTCCTATTGTAATACTTAGCAAATCAAACCTTCATGTGGAAATAAAAATATTTTTTAATTTATATTTATTTATTGTATTTAGAAATAACCCATCTCCCTTATAGAGGACGATACGTGTACATTTAAATTTTAGACACTAGATTAATGTTTCTCAGTCTCAGCAATTTTAAAATGCAGATTTCAACTCTCAGAATTCCCCAGCCATCTGCATCACATAGATACAATGGAAGTTGGTCATTGCCTTCCTACCCTCTGTTTCAGCTTCCAGGGTGCAGTTTAATCAAAGCCAAGAAAGAAGAAATCGGATAAAATGGATTTTTGATTTGATTCAGATAAGCTCGTTTTATTAACCATGATGGTAAAGAATGAAATTCTCTATCTCTAACCTATCCTCAAACAGTTCTTGCTTTGGGGAAGCCACAGAAAGTCAGCATTGCCTCCTGACATTGCTAGTGGAGAGATCAGTTCTCCTTTGTGGAAAACAAGGCAATGTATGATAGAAAACCTTTGGTGTCATCCAGCAGAGTCTTTTCAATTTTCCCCCTAGAGCCAAGGAAAGCCAGAGGGAAGCAGTGGGGTCAAATGCAGACAAAACCTAAGCTGTGTCCAGACAAGGTTAATCAGCTCAAATAAAAGGCCTTCTCGCTGCATTTGCACTCCATGCTAAGTTTGTCTAGGGTCAACTTTGTTCTGTGCAAATCCAGTCTGCTTGGTTAGTTCACAGTTTAATGTATTCTATGAACTCAGAAAACAAATAAATTTAGAAACTAGGTTACACATGTAACGTGAATAAGAAGAGGAATATGCTGTTCAGTTAAATCTTCTATATGGTGTGTCCTTTATAACCAGAACATTTTATAATCCAAAAAAATCTACATGTTATGTCCTGATTCTTCTGAGGAACAGAAACCCAATGAGGAGCACTGATGCACCCTTACCCTCTTGATTGTCCCATCGCTCCCCACTCCCTCCACTACTCTGTCCAGCCTCTTCCCAGAAAGCATCACCTGCTCTCCACAGTGGATCTGATGCTGAGAGTTGAAATTGTCACGACAATCAAAAACTTTGATGTTCAAACTTCTAAAAAGGAGCAAGACTAAAGGATTTGAAAGCCAGTACTCCGAAGTCATTTTCTTTTCTCACTGCTGTAAGATTTGATCAGAAAGTTTTCTTAAAAGGTGATGGTAATCACTTTAAATTCATCGCCCACTTTAACCTTTCAAGGCTGAATTTAATCTGCAGCCTGAGAGTGAGCCAGCCAGCCAGATTCCTCCTGGTTCATGGCCAACCTCTTCATCTCGTTACAGCTAAAAATACCTAATGAACATAAATTGTGGCATGTGCTGGACCAGTATCACAGCAAATTTCCCAGGTCTGTAGAACGGCAGGAGCAAGAAAATGCTTCATCTATTCAATTACAACCCACAGATCCTAAAGTCACAACATGAAGCAAAAATTCTCTCCTCCCTTAACAGAATAACAGAATTGGAAGGGACCTTGGGGGTCTTCTAATCCAACCCCCTACTCATCCACAAGACCCTATACCATTTCAAACAAATGGCTGTCCGATCTCTTCTTAAAAACCTTCAGTGATGGAGCACCCACAACTTCTGAAGGCAAGCCATTCCATTGGTTAATTGTTCTCACTGTTAGGAAATTTCTCCTTAGTTCTAGGTTGCTTCTCTCCTTGATTAGTTTTCATCCATTGTTTCTTGTCTTGCCTTCTGGTGCTTTAGAAAATAGGTTGGCCCCCTCTTCTTTGTGGCAGCTCCTCAAATATTGGAAAACTGCTATCAGTCTTTCTTTTTACGAAGCTAAACATACTCAATTCCTGCAACCATTCTTCATATGTTTTATCCTCCAGCTTTCTAATCATCTTTGTTGCTCTTTTCCACACTTTCCACATTTTTATAATATGATCAAAACTGGATGCAGTATTCTAAGTGCAGTCTTACTAAGGCTTTATCAATCCCATGATCTTGATTCTGTCCCTTTGTTAATGCAACCTAGGATAGCATTGGCTTTTTTGGCTACTGCCGTACACTGCTGGCTCATATTTATGTGATTGTCCACTTGGATTCTGAGATCCTTCTCACAGATACTGCTGTTGAGCCATGTTTCACCTAATCTTTACCTGTACATTTGGTTTTTCTTGCTTAAGTGTAAAACCTTACTTTTCTCTATACTGAATTTAATTTTGTTAGATAGGACCCAGTGATCAAAGTCTTTCAAGATCCACCTGGAACTTGAGCCTATCTTCTGCCTGCCAGTTCATGGGTTTGATGAGTTCCCCTTTTATTACCTCATCTAAATCAGGGCTTTTCAACCTTTCACCCATTGTATCACTTTTAGGATATGGCAACATCCGAGTACCACCAGTCGCCTAGAAAGGTGTCAAAAACTTGACGACCAAAAAAAAAAAAAGGAAAAAAGTGATAAAATACAGGTAGTCCTCGACAGCTCACTTAGTGACTGTTCGAAGTTACAATGGCATTGAAAAAAGTGCCCCCAAGCCACAGCTGAGCAAGACACCTGCCTGCCCACCCAGTGGTGTTCTTCCTCCTGTCTGAGGTTTTCATTGTTGTGAGCATTTCTGTTGAGGATTGGCAGCGGGGCTGGGGTGGGAGTGTTTGGTTTTTATTCCCCCCATCTGCTGGGTGGTTGCAGGAGGTTTTGGTCACTTCACATGACCCTGGGACACTGTGACCGTCATAAATATGAATCAGTTGCCAAGCATCTGAATGTAAATCAACAAAACCCAGGAGATGCTGTAACATTCCAGCTGATTGGTGCTTCTTCTGGGCTCAGCAGAAGCACCAGGAACAGTGCCGAGATCCAGCTGGAGCCTGGCGCTCATCCTGGCGCTTCCACTGAGCCCTGACAGCCCTGCACTCCAGCCATTTCTCGCTCAGGCTTGTGCAGTGCTGCCACCGGTTCAGCTCATTCCCCTCCCCCACTACCACTTTTCTAGAATGGTCGCGTACCACTTGCCAGGTGCCAATGTACCACAGGTGGTACCTGTAACCACTGGTTGAAAAGCCCTGATCTAAATCATTTATGAAGTTGTTGAAGAGTACTGGACCTAAAATGGAACTTTGGAGTATCCCACTGCTTGTAGATGTAGTTCCATTGCAGTCTACACATTGAGTGTGATTTAAGTACTACTACTACTCTTCTTCTCCTTCTTCTTCTTTTTGCTGATAATTTTGTTATTGTGATTGTGATTATTATTATTGTGCTTATGCCTATTACTGTTATTTCAATTTATAACCTAACTTTTTTCTTAAGACCCAAGATCGTTTATCTGGTTCTGTGGTCACTTTATCTTCACCATTATTTGGTGGAGTAGGCTGAACTGATACACAGTAATGTGCCAAAAGTTATTCAGGGAACTGGGCTGGAAGGAGAGGGGCCCAGTCCAAACCAATAAGGAAAACTCTAGCCCCTACCACCCTCACCATTCAATACATCAGAGATTCAAACGGAGATCTCTCTGCATGTTCTCAAATCCCTCCAAAAAAACCATCCCTAAGACCTATTCACTGTAGCAGCTGAGTGGATTCCTGGCCATGTCACTGCATTTACTTAAAATAAAAACTAAGCTTCTAGCCCTCACAGTTTTTAAAACTGACTCAAAAGGAATCACACTGATGAGAACATCCATTTAGATACTTTATATATATATATATATATATATATATATATATATATATATATATATATATATATATATAGACTCCCTATTAATCTCAAAAACAGATGTGGCAAACACAGGGCCAGATTATTGCATCTCCCTCCACAAATAGCTTACATTTTAATTCTGGTGCTTGCAGAACCAGATTCTAATTCTAGGCTGGGTGTTTCTGAGGTCTGTTTAGCATCAAGGCTGTCCGTCTCCTCCCTACCAGCTTCCCAGCTTTCATTTCCATATATCTCAGAGTCAGAGAAATTGAAGCTATTCATCTGGGCTCTTTCCTCCTTGAGGAACTCAGCATGAAACAAGCCCACTACAAAGACTTTTCAGCCATTCTCCAAGATGATTTCTCTTACACAGAAACTCAGCTTTTGATCCATGCCTTAGGTTTCACTTTCTGTCAAAGACAGCTTTATTATTTTTTAAAGCTCTGCTCAGGCTGTGAGCTGAGGCTTGTCCTAGTTTCCGTAAATCTCAGAGAAAGTCCCAGGTCTTGCATCAGCCTTGCCTTCATCTCTGGGGAAGTGCTAAATTTTGCCCCTTCCCCAAATCAACAACTTTCCAACATAGTGAACTTCAGTTCACAGGAACTGCTGGGGACTTTGATTCCCCAAAGACTCCTTGAAAACTTTTTCATCCCGAATTACAAATATGCTTACATTTCAGGGGGAAAGGGGGCACATTTTCTAAGATCTTACAGCTCAGAAAATGGGTAAATGGAGCAGAATCTTAAAATTCAGAGACTTACCTGGGCAAAATTCCACCAATCCACGCAACTTCAACAGTTGAAGTGGAGTGTTTGCTGCCTGTCTGAAATTCTGAATTCACAAGCCACTCGTGGTGACTGGATCTGGTCTTGAGCAGGTTCACCCCTTTTTTGGCCTTCACCCTGCCAAGCAACAAGAAAGAGAGAGCAACATCTTTTTCTCAAGGACCCTCAAGTTAGGTCCCTCCATTCTCTCCCTCTGCATTTCTTGGGCATAACACTCAACTGCTCAACAACATCAGCTTATTAAACTGAAAGAAAATCACATTTGGAGTGGCTGGCTGGCTATAAAGTGGTAGGGCCATTGTTGTTACAGCACCTGAATTCTTGGAAAGAGCTGCCATCTCAGGATGTTCACAAGATGGCAATCTTCAGGCAGTCCTCAACTTATGATCGTAATGGAGCCTGCCCATCACATTCATAAGTTATGATGGCCATAAATCAGGACATCCACGTGACTGACTTTATAATTTTTTTTGTTGTTGTTAGTTGCGAAGTCGTGTCTGACCCATCATGACCCCATGGACAATGTTCCTTCAGGCCTTCCTGTCCTCTACTATCTTCTGGAGTCCATTTACGCTCACGCCTACTGCTTCAGTGACTCCATCCAGCCACCTCATTCTCTATCGTCCCCTTTTTCTATTGCCCTCAATCTTTCCCAGCACTAGGCTCCAGTGAGTCCTTCCTTCTCATTAGGTGGCCAAAGTACTTGAGTTTCAACTTCAGGATCTGGCCTTCTAAAGAGCAGTCAGGGTGATCTCCTCTAGGACTGACCGGTTAGATTGCATTGCAGTCCAGGGGACAGTGATCATTAAATGAATGTTATGGTCATTAAGCAAACCAATGATTTGCTATGGGCCAGTATGGCCGAAAACCAGAAATAAATATCAATTTTCAGCAAAACTGTTGTAAAATGTGGTCACATGACTATGGGATGCTGCAAATGGACATAAATGCAAGCTGGTTGCTGAGTGCCTGACATGTGGTCATGTGATCACAGGAATGGGAGGGGTTGGCCATCAGAACTTTGGAACCAGGTTATTAAGCTAAGCCACTGGTCATAAGTCGAGTACATGCCTTTGGCGTCATCAAGTGGTCATCTGTATTTCTGCAATCCTGCATATAGTACCCAATTATTGGAACACCCTCCTAATTCTTATACATCAAATTTTGGTTTTTTTCAGGATTTGAAAGAGATATAATCCCAGCCTCATTTGGGATGCTCATGTCCACTGTTAAATTCACAACTTATAGTGCCTTATAATTTATTTGTTTAGAATTTTTAACATTTGTAACAAACTTCTTCATGCTTTATTTAATGGAAAAACTGAGATGTATATAAATTGACTCACAAATCAAACCAAAACAAAGACCCTAACTGCATTTGGGTATCCTGATGGGGAAAACTTGAAAATAAATTCTTGCCAGAAGGCCAACACTGTCATAGGAGTAATCATGAATAAATAATATAATCTATCTGCATCTACTTATGAGCCTCTGAATTTCTGTGTTTGGAATATGAATTGTTTATGTCATTTCTGGCCTACACTTTCTTCCATGTAGGGTTAAGTGAATGCCTAAATGTCACAGAAACTATATTAGGTACTGAAGAAAATTGACTTATTTAACAAAAGTAACAAAAGACAGAGAGCAGAATTTGCACAGCAAAGCTGCAAAGTACTTTTTGGCACTTCTCTCCCCCATCCTCCCACCCGCTGCCTAAAACATCCAGGCTCCAGATTGCTCATTTTTGGTCTACAAGATAGTGACTGCTATGGACTTTGTCAGAGTATGCATATAAGAACCTTTCACACCTTTCCAGGATGCTCCTGTGAGAGGTTGCAAGGAGACTCAGAAATAAAAGGCAGAAACTAGATATAAACAAGCAACAGATGGGAAATGACTTTGATAGTAATTTATAAACGACAGCTTGCAAAAAGCACAGGAAAAACAGATTCAAATATTCAAAGAGACTCTGCTTTAATGAATTCACTAATAAAAGAGGGCTGGAGCTTCCTACTGCAGTTTTCCAAGATTTCAAAATGAGGGGTCCCTGGCGCTGTCTGAGCTTGATTCTTTTCTTGCAGGCGCTTCATTACCAACCTAGGTAATACCATCAGTGTTAGCACCTGAGAGAGCACCAAGGACCCCTCATTTCAACCCTGAGTGATGAATCTTTTCTATCAATTCCAAAATGAATTGTTTTACTAAAACTCCTTACTCAAGTCTTGGGTACCGTGCTTTCCGGCGTATAAGACGACTTTCGCAAGCGGTAAAATCGGTGCCAAAGTCGGGGGTTGTCTTATACGCCGAGTCGTCTTATACACTGGAAATTATGGTAGTTTCCGGCATATAAGACGACTTTCTAGGCATGCGACTCGGTGCCAAAGACGGGGGTCGTCTTATACGCCGGGTCGCTTTATATGCCGGAATATACGGTAATCTTGTTTCTGTGTTCTGAACTTGATGCCACCATGCCAACAGCAATGAAGAGCTGTGCTGTAGACCTTTTAACAAATGCTGGCCCCTGCAGTGCTTACCTAAGCATGAAGTGCTCAACCGTTGAGTTGCCCATCAAGTACAGGGTGACACTGAGCACCTCGCCTGGTTTGAGAGGTTTCTCAGGCAGTCGGATGAAGATACTGTCATCCAGTCGCTGCTCCTGCAAGGGCTGGGTGGGTGGCGGCTGAACCAGCCTCAGACTGCCAATGCGCAGGAGAGGGTGTTGGGTGGGACCTTCGATCCGCGCACCAGCCCCACCTCTCCGTCCCATCGGTTCGCTCCCACACTCCCCCATTGCATCGGGGGCATGAAGCGTATAATAGAGTTCTACTTGCTGTACATCTCCAGGTGGTTCAATGTCCTCCATCATTTTCCTCCTCCCCAGGGGGACGGCAGCAAGTCCAAACCAAGCTTGAGGAAGCTCAGCTTGGGCTAGGCAGGTGGCCAGGCTACCCCAAAGGCGGCAAGAGGCCCGGACTTCACGGGCCTCACGGAAGGCGTGGAGTCGCACACAGGGCAGCTGCTCGGTCACATCAAAATCATCCCAGTCACGTCCGGCCACATAGAATAGCACCTGGGCTGTGGGTTGGTTGGCTGGCACCCGCGTGCCAACGATGAAGGCCCGTACTTTCCAGTTCACTGTCAGGCGTTCTGGTATCTCCAGAGTGCTTGAAGGCTGCAGGAGCTCCTTGGGTAACACCAGGCCTGAGCTGAACGGTCCCAAAGAGATGTTGAGCACAGGTAGTTTCTTGGTTTGGAACACAACAAAAGGTTCTGACTGGGTCAAGCCAAGGGTATTGCTTCCTCTTAGTACCGGCCGTGTCTCTCTCAGGAAGAATGCCAAGCGGGTGTTGGAAAGATTGTAACTGACTGGAAGAACAGCAGCGGCAGGAGGTTGGGAGACCTCTGGGGCTTCTGAGCTTGTAGGGGGTACTTTGGCCTGAGCTGAAAAATAAGAGACAAAAAATAGCATTGGCTATTAGTATCGACCATCTTTTAAACACTCCCCATCCCCTAGAAGAGGGGTGGGGAATTCCTGATTCAGGAATTCTGGGAATTGAAGTCCACAAGTCATAAAGGGACCATAGTTCCCATAACAAGTAAATCTAATCCTGGAGTTTCAATCCTTTATATCAATTGAAGAATTCCCTCCAGTCCTTAAGTGATACTTCACAGTTGGTTATTTGATGCAATGTTTGTGTTATACCCCACAAGCATCATGTGTTAGAAAAAGGATAGTGTTTCTCAACCTTGGCAACTTTAAGATGTGTGGATTTCAACTCCCCAAATTCCCCAGCCAGCATGCTGGAAATTAAAGTCCACTCATCTTGAAAATTGCTATGGTTAAAAGAATATTGAAGGTTATACCTTTAAAAAAAAAAGAAGAAGAAGAAGATAGAAAAGGAAATTTATTTAGACCTATTCAAAGAGTCCAAGGAAGTGAGCACCCACTATTCTCTGATTTTTCTTAAGACAACAATGCTCTGGGATAGGCTTAGATATAGTGACTGGCCCCAAGTCATCCAATAAACTCCCTTGACTAAGGCAAAACAAACATTAAATTTCTTCAGTCCAAATCCAACACCCTAAATTTATCCCACACATGTTCTTCTTTACTATTCTTCCATTCCCAACTTTTCCTGCTACAGGGAAAGCTAATCCATTTACTTCTATCTTCACACTGTTAACCTTTCATTACAACACCCTCTGATTAACGAAGCACTCATCAAGTATCTTAAGACCACAAGTCCCAAATTTCTCAGGCCAATATGGAAATTCTGAACAACAAAACTCATTTTCTGCACAAAGAAAAATCTCAATTTTATGGATCAGTTGAAAGAAGGAATGTCTGTTATACCTAAACATGCATTAAATCCAATTTGATATAACCTCATTTGCATCCATTCATATCAATAGCATAGTTTAATTACATAATTTACTTGAGTTGATACAAGTGAAGTCAATTATGTAATGATGCAAATAACGTAAATTAATATTGACGTAAATTATACCAATTGCTCAGATTGTTTTGGAAACAGTTGGCATCTGTTCTTTGAGAGTGAATATCGACTACTTTGACCTTGAAATCTACTTCATAGGCAGACACCCACAATTTATCTTCCCTATGTTTCCTACCTGTCCTATTGGGGCTGACAAGAGGGGCATGCGCTGGGTCCCATCAGCTAAGTAGCGTTGGCTAGCCAAGTAGCCAAGAAAGAGAGTCTTTTCTGCCATTGCATCCATCCTACGGAACATCATTTTGTCTGAAATTAGATGGCAGGAATGCTGTTGGCCTTTTGTAAGCCTTGAAAACTTGGTTTCATGCCCGGGCCTGGAACCCAAAGGGTATGTTGGAACTGGTCTCTTGGCGTTGATGGTGGTTTTTACAGTGCTTGGCTGCTGTGTGTTTTTATTTTTACATTATGTATTTATTTATTTTATTGTGAGCCCTTTCCAGTCACATATTTGAGATGGGTGGATGTATACAGGTAGTACTTGACTTACGACTAGTTATTTTGGTGAATGTTCAAAGTTAGGACACATCCCAAAATGGGACTTATGATGTCTGTCTCTTCGTCACATCACCGCATTTTAGGCACTTGGCAAATTTACGGCCGTTTGCAGCACCCTGTTTTTGCCAGAAACTGGCATTTACTTGTAGTTTCCGGCAACAACTATCTCATAGCGAACAATGTGCTTGCTTAACAACAGCTCCAAAAGGTCATAAAATGACCATCTTTACAACTTTAGAACTTTACGACCATCATGACTTATGATCAAAATTGTGGGTTCAATTACAAATATAAGTCAAGGACTACCTGTAGATCGAATAAACAAACAGCTAGGAGTGAATAATGTTGAAATAAAACATTTAACCTGTGTATGGAAGGAACTGCAGTAAGATGATGGTGTACATACTCCTGAGAAGAAGGTCAGGCTATTCCACAAAATAGGAGTGGAATACATCCCACAGATCTCATACAGAGGAAGGTTGTTCAGAAGGCGTTATCAGAAGACTGGACTAAATAGACAGATTCAATTTATATATTTCAACATACTGTTTCCCAATCATGAATGCCCTCCAGAAGGGTAGAGTTCATCATACTGTTTGGGGCTGAGGCAGACGGGTGAAAGGATTTTCTTGTCTTTCCCCCCTGGTTAAAGGTTGGGTTTAAAATTAGGACGATTGAGTTTCACAGGCTTACCCTACAATTTGGTAGATTTCCTACTTCAGAAAATGGGGGTGACATGGTGGCTCAGCAGTTAAGAAGCTGGGATTGTCAACTGGAAATCTGGCAACCCAAGTTTGAGACCTGAGCTTCACACGATGGGGTGAGCTCCTGTCCTTACCCCAGCTCTTGCCCACCTAACAGTTCAAAAGCATACAAGTGCAAGTAGATAAATAGGTACCAGTTCAGTGGGAAGGTAACAGTGCTCCGTGACATCATGCTGGCCTCATGACCATAGAAATGTCTTCAGACAGCGCTGGCTCAATGGCCTTAAAAGAGAGATGAGCCCTGCCCCCTATATTTAGCAACAACTAGTGGAGTAAAATCCGCAGGGCCCCTTTACTCCCTTCAGAATGTCTGAAAACATCATCATTGATTTTGGACAACTGGGATCAAATGGAGTTTCAAGAAGTCACAAAATGGGCGAACGTGTGGGAGAAACATATATATCTGACCCTGAGGTCACTGTTTTATCTATCCTCCAGTGCAAAATAATCCTCCAGAATCTGGCCTGTGGTGACTCCACTCTAAACATTTTTCGCTATCTTATTATCAAAGCATTATTGGCCTCCTTCTCTCTATGCTAGCATCAGGGGCCTCGTTTTGATCACCAAATGGCTGTGTGTTCGTAGGAGGCTCAGATTATCTCTGGGGCTAGAAGAAGCCATGGAGAATGGTCCACTAACTGGCACCTTTCACCACTCAAGTGCTGGAAGCAGCTGCACAAGGGAGGACTTAGCTTGCCCTCCCTGATCTCCATCCTCAGAGGAAAAATTAGAGCTATTAATACGCAAACACCTTCATTAACCCTCCTAAATGCATGCAGATTGTGTCCTTCAATCAGCCGCTCTTGGTACAACAGAGATGGTGGCTGCATATTTATAGCTCCTGTCAAGAGGAAACAAGTATTTGTATTTGAACAGAACTCAGGGATTCCTACCCCTGAATCCAATACTGGCACTGAAGGATTCTAGTTCACAGATGGGAACACAAAATATTTTGGTGCTAGAAGCCAAAATCTTTTTTAAAAGGTTTTCCATGCTGTTAAAAATTAGTGGCATTTTTAATGAGAGACGGAGAATCTGCAAACTATAATAATGTTACATTTCAACTCCTATCAGATTCAGCCAGCATAGCCACACAGTCACACGGTGACTTTGATCAGAACCTCTTTAAGAGTTAATTTGAGAGCCAGTTTGGTCTAGTGCAGTGATGGCGAACCTTTTAGAGACCGAATGCCCAAACTGCAACCCCAAACCCATTTATGTATCATTGGGTGCCGGGTGGGCGTGGCCCATTGGGTGGGTGTGGCCCATTGGGTGGGCATGGCCCATTGGGTGGGCATGGCTGTGGTGGTAATGGCAGACTGGGTGGGACTAAAAAGTTCAATCAATCAATTCCAACTTTGCAAGATCTTTTTTTTCCCCCGAGAAGTTGAAATTGATTGATTGATTAAACCTTTTTTTTTTGCACACGGTGGCAGAGGCCTAAAGCGAAAAGATTTTATAAAACCCAGCTGAAGGCCTAGGACTGGGGTGACAGCGTGCATGCCTACAGAGAGGGCACTGCATGCCACCTGTGGCATGTGTGCCATAGGTTCGCCACCACGGGTCTAGTGGTTAAGGCACCAGGCTAGAAACCAGGAGACCGTGAGTTCTAGTCTGATCTTTGGCATGAAAGCCAACTAAGTGACTTTGGGCCAATCACTCTCTCTCTCTGCCCAATGCACCTTACAGAGTTGTTGTTTTGGGGAAAATAAGAGGAGGAAAAAAAGTACTATTTTGTTCATTGCCTTGAGTTACTTATCAAGTAACAAAAGCGGGATAAAAATCAGATAAATAAATAAATGCACCTTGACCTCAAGGGCCACTTTTAAGTACAGTAGTAAACCAGCAGGAAAGAAATCTACACTGTCACAGAAGGCAAGTCTAGAAGAAAATAGTTGGCACCGGGGGTGAAAATGAGGTCAATTTTGCTCCCAAACCTACTTAAATAAAAGATAACTGAGTAATGCTAATTGGTTTGGCTTCCATGTATCCAAGCATTTTCTCTTCTTTTCATATTCCACAGAATACCAATTTCTGGAATAACTTTATGTATTTATTTTGTGATTCAATTTTCATCCACTCTCTCTGTGTAGCTAAACTACCCCAGCATATTCAGTTTGTACTTGTTATTTACTTTTTTATTCGATCTATACTGCTGACCTTATTTTCTTCTACCTTTAGTGCAGCCACTTTGTTAAGCATCCCATTCCAAAAGCATTCAATTTACTATTGCGGTCCTCCTGGCACTCGCTCCCTTATAACAAAGTGGGCAGAAGAAACGTATTATACCCAGAATTTTCTTTCCTTTTCACGGATATTCATTACTTGTCACCAATAACAAACAAAGGATTACTTTAAGATACTCTAAGAATATTTGCATTTCTTACCATTTCTCCATACATTTTCTCATCTTTTGTAAACATTCCATTAAGGAACACAAATCCATCAACTGGCTCTATTTTTCGTTCTTTTTTTTATAAGGTATAAATAATCAGTCCATTTTCCACGTCAAACTGTTTTAGTCCTTGACACATTAACGTTCAAATCCGTACTCCCTGTTGCCATCATGCAATCTATCTAACATTCCCTCCAAATGAGTTGGGTTTCCTGCCAGCAACACAGCACCATCTGCATAGGAAAGTAGAAATACATCCTCATTTCCATCCAA